TATGTGGTGGAGGAGCGGTAAAGTAAGGAGAATTTGAGGAAGAAAGCAAGGGTAGAGGAAGCATATTAGATGGTAGAGAGAGTAGGAATCAGACTTCATAAGAAATGATTTACAAAATGTTGGTTTGCTTGCAGTCTTTCCAGAGTGGAGTATAGTTTTTTCTTGTGTTTTCTTACTGCTTTAGTTAAACTGCTGTGTTTAACTGCTTTAGGTGTCCGTTTATGACACAGAGAATAGCTGCGATTCAGAGGATCCAGAGGATTGCAGCTATTCTCTGGTCATTCACAGTTTGACACTCAGGAGATCAGCGGAGAACATGTTCAGCACTTCACTGGAGATCTGTGTTCTCCCTCCAGATTCTCCAGCCCAGAGCTGGAGAATAGGAGGAACCGCAAACTAAGAAGCGATAATTTACCTCTGCTTAGTAAACTGATCTTTTACTGTAATCTGGCGAGATTATAGTAAAATCAGCCGTTTTCCACCGTTTGTAGACAGTTCTCCAGCGTTTGTAGACCGTTCTTCGTTCGGAGAACTGCCTCATAAAAGGCATTCACAGGAGAACTGTGTTCTCCAAGAATGCCGGAGAACTGAGCAGCGATCATTTATCACTGGTTCATAAATGGACACCTTAGTACTTTTGCAAAATATACTTAAGCAAAACCTCCCGGTCTGTGACATACCCAATAACTTTGATCTAAATTTAAAGGCAAAAGGAGGTGAGAATCAATCATCAAAAATAAAGACACGTTTAAAGGGATCTTAGTTTATTTACTATATTGATTGCATAGTGTCAGTACAGAGCAAAGAGATAGTTAAAGATGGATTTACCATTAGGATTGCAGTGTTAGTATAGCATGGAGATGGTTAAACCTGGATTTTCGAGCAGCATTTACAATAAGTATATATTTTTAACTAAAAAAAGTACATTCTTTCTACTTAGCCTCCTCCAAATCTACAAATTATTTTCTTTTTAGCTGCTGTGATCTGACTTCCTGTTAGTGGGTGGCTACATTTGTCCCCCATGGTCCTACTGTATGTAGGAAAGTAGCCACCCTCTCTTGCTTCATCCTGAGATGATCTAGGGACTATGGGCTACGGGGTTTAAAGAAAAATAGATTACTGGGCTACTAAGTAGTGGATGTTTATGGATTATTTTTGGAGAAGAAAGTTATCATTTAGTGTAACTTTAAATTGTAATTAGAGGCAAAGCTTTTTTTTTTTGGAGAGATTAGAATACTTGTCAGTTTTTATTGCTGTCTGTGTTCCTGTTAGGGAGATTCATCTTATTTGTTCTGTTTAATGGCATCATTGAAAGTAAATGAAAATCCCAAATTTTGGATTAACAACAGAAACAATTGAGTATTGACGTGATACTTTTTTTATTTGCACTATCATACAATTCTGAGGACAAGCTTTCGGGGAATGTCCCCTTCTTCAAGGTCCAGGCAGTACTACTTGCCTGGACTTTGAAGAAGGGGACATTGCCCGAAAGCTTGTCCTCAGATTTGTATGTTAGTGCAAATAAAAAAAGTATCACGTCAGTACTCAATTGTTTCTGTCGCAAATGCACTAATACGGCTACAATCACCTCAAGCAAAATGGATTAACAACAGAACTCTAATGGATGGGAAAGCTTCCAAAGGGACACTTGTGGGCTGCTCGAGCGGCTCCGACTAAGCTATGTTGTGAGGAGGTGGACTCACCAGGTTGTGGGTGGGGTCACTTGCCCATGTACATGGGGTACCTTTGGATAGGTGAACTCGCTCATCAATGCTTGGGACCTGGTGGGGCCATGTTCAGGTGAAATCAGAAATGAGCCATACATAGTTTGTAAGTCTGTAACCTAAAGAGTCCCTTTGTTAATGTGGCCGAAGAGTGTCACGTTTAGGAGGGACATTGCAGAGTCAGCCAGCCAGCATACCTCTGCCACCTCACTCCCAGTGACAGAATAAGGTCCCATGGAACATCTGCGTGGACCTCAAGTGTGCTCTTCATTAACTTGTTACTCTCTCCCATACCATGCAGCTGGGCTGTGGGTCTTCATAATATGGTCATCCCAAACTTGGGGAACCAACCGCTAAGGAAGGAAATCAATGCACCAACCCCATCGCTACCAGAGGACACCTCATCACCTCATCCAAGCCAAGTACCATGCTAACTGGCTGTTGTACACTTTGCACTAGTTCCGTTTACCCATAGCAGCTGTGTTCCTCCTGTGACTTGTCTTGCTGAGTAAACCTTTAGTATTGTCTGAACCCTATTCAATCAGCGCAACACACTCTAAAATAATACAATAGTGCTCTAAATATTTGCTGCTAAAACACTGTTAGTGACTTCCAACACCTTTACCAAAATGAATAACAATATAGTGCAGCGCAACAAATTAATATCTCATATAAAATCAATCAAAAACAATAATTAAAGTCCCATGAAAAAGTCTCTTATAACACCACTGTGCAATGTGTATAAAAAGCTCTTCTTCAGTGCCAACTGTGCCACCACCATTAAGTGAAAACCCTGCTCACCTCACTTTATGACCTCATCAATAGGTCATCATGTGCTCAACTTATGGCCACACTTGTGTACACCCTCTGTGGTCTTCTTCCAGCTCCTCTCCCGAGCCCCCACTTACATCAGAGTTCCCAGTATTTCCCTTTAATCAGGGTTTCCAGAGCCCCTAATACATCAGAGTTTGTAGAGTTCTCCCTTACATCAGAGTTAACAGAACCCCCCTTACATCAGAGCTCATAGAGTCCCCCTTACATCAGAGTTTGCAGAGTTCTCCCTTACGTCAGGGACCGTAGAGCCACCCTTACATCAGAGTCCACAGAGCCAGAGTCTGCACAGCCCCCTTTACATCAGAGTCCGCACAGCCTCCGTACATCAGAGCCCGCAGAGTGCCCCTTACATCAGAGTTCACAGGACGCCCCTTACATCAGATTCCTTACAGCCCCCTTACATCAGAGTCCACACTGTCCCCTTACATTAGAGTCTGCACAGCCCCCCTTACATCAGAGTGCTTACAGCCCCCTTACATCAGAGTCCACAGAACCCCTTACATTAAAGTCTGCACATCACCCATTACATCAGAGTGCTTACAGCCCCCTTACATCAGAGTCTGCAATGGCTCTCTTACATTAGAGTCCACACAGCCCCCCTTACATCAGAGCCCACAGAGCACCCCTTACATCAGAGTCCACAGGGTGCCCCTTACATTAGAGTCTGCACAGCCCCCCTTACATCAGAGCCTGCAGAGCGCCCCTTATATCAGAGTCCAGTGGGTGCCTCTTACATCAGGGTCTTTACAGTCCCCTTACATCAGAGTCTGCACAGCGCCCTTTACGTCAGGGTCCTTACAACCCCTCTCACATCAGACTCTGCACAGTCCCCCTTACATTAGAGTCCGCACAGCTCTCCTTACATCAGAGCCCGCAGAGCACCCCTTACATCAGAGTCTGCACAGCCCCCCTTACATCAGTTTTTTTTTACAGCATTTGTTTGAGAAATATCAACTCAAACACTGAAGGTAACCTGATTTCTGCTTCTAATACAAACAAACAACCAAACAGATCCTTCTATGCAAGTCTGGGAAAAAAATCCGAAATATATAACAAACGCAACACAGGCATAAAAGGCATATCGAGTCTCTTGTGAAAAAAAAAAAGCCTACCTGCTAATAAAAAAAAAAGATTTGTGCCTACTCTATTTACTCTAGCAGTAAATAAATCCTAATTGCAGTAAAGATTGAATTGCTTGGTATTTTCTGAATGCAAAGCATTCTCTGACTGGACAAGGTGGAGAGTGTGATATCACTGTCCTGCCTCATCCAATTAGGGAACGCTTTGCATTAATTCATGAAATGTAATGCATTCTCTGAATGATGCCTGTGCTAAGCAGCTGACCTCTTGGGTTAAAGTGGAGATCCAGCTGTTTTTGTGTTTATTAAGTCAGCAGCTACAAAGACTGTAGCTGCTGACTTTTAATAAACACACACTTAACTGTTTCTGGATCCAGCGATGTACTCACCTGCACAGTCCCTTCTCTCCTTCTGTCCTCCACGGTGCCAGTATCTCTACTGTGGGCACCAGGCTGTGACAGCTCGTGGCTTCACAGCCTGGTGCCCTCTGCGCATGTGCGAGTCATGCCACACCTCCTGATTAGTCCGGCAGTCTCCCGGGACCTGTGAAAGTTCCCAGGAGACTGCAGGAGCATGCAGGGGGCTGGACTTCCAGCTCACTTCGTGAACTGAGACGGAAGTAGGAGCGGGTACTTGTCAAGACCAGGTACCCATTCCCCCCAAAAGGTGCCAAATATAGCAGTGGAGGGGGGAAGGAGGCAAATAAGCGGAGCTTTCACTTTTGAATGGAACTCCGCTTTAAGAACGCAGTAGGGGTAGGGGCGTATTTGCCGTGAGGCAAACAAGGCATCCGCCTAGGGCGGCACTTTTTAGGGGGGCGGCACGGCGGCTCTGCCGCCCCCCCCCTTTCCCACGGAAGGGACACTTAGCACAGGGGCGGGCTGCTGTGTCTTACCTGGGTCCGCGACTCCGTGTCCCAGTACCACGTCGATCCTGTCCACGAAGCGCTGCTGGAGGAGGGGTAAAGAGGTTGTCTGGTCAGCGGCTCCGGTGTCTTCGTTTCCCTGGATCGCAATGTGTGGGCGGGATGACATGCCGCCCCTGTCATCTGACCACACCCCTGGATCACTAAACAGCCTATAGCAGCTTGTCCCTCTCTCTGCAAGCTCCGCCTTCTCGCCGGTGATTGGCCGCTGGAACTGTAGCTCAGGAAAGGCACACAGGCGGCCAATCACCAACAGGGAGGCGGAGCTTGAAGAGGAGGAGCCATGCGGCAGCGGGAAGATCAAAGAAGATCTAGTGAGGGAGCAGCCGGAGCGAGTGAAGAGGAGAGCGGCCGGAGTGAGTGAAGAGGAGAGTGACCAGAGAAGGAAGACAGCTGACCGGTAAGAGTTTGTGCCATGCAGATGGTGCTGCTGCAGCCAGGTATGCTGGCTGTGGATGGGAGAGGGAGGGAGGGAGCCCAGGCTGTAGCAGGGGTCAGCAAGGTAAGTATCATTGGTGTCAGCAGGAGGAATAGTGCCCCATCATTGGTGTCATTGATACCAACGATGGGGCTCTATTCCTCCCACCACTGACACCAACGTTGGGGCACTATTCCCCCCCCCCCCCCCACTGACACCAACGATGGGGCACTATTCCTCCCCCACTGACACCAACGATGGGGCACTATTCCCCCCCACACACACTGACATCAATGATGTGGCACTATTCCTCCCAAACTGACACTAATGACGGGGCACTGTTCTTCCCACTGACACCAATGATGGGGCACTATTCTTCCCACTGACACCAATGATGGGGCACTATTCCTCCCACTGACACTAATGATGGGGCACTATTCCTCCCACTGACACTAATGATGGGGCACTATTCCTGCCACTGATACCAACGATGGGACACTGGTGTCAGTGTGGGAGGAATAGTGCCCATCACTGGTGTCAGTGTGGAAGTAATAGTACCCCATCATTGTTTTCAGTGGGAGGACTAGTGCCCCATTGTTGGTGTCAGTGGGAGGAATAGTGCCCCATCATTGATGTCAGTGGGAGGAATAGCGCCCATCGTTGCCAGTGGACGGATCTCTAATAGGAAGAGGTGGAGCCTAAATAGGAAGGGGTGAGGTTTACAGATGAAGGGGTGGATTTTAAACAGGAATGGGTGGGGCAAATTTTAGATGCGGGGGGTGGAGGGGTGCCCGATTTTAGTCTTGCCTAGGGCAGCACAAAACCAAAATACCCACTGAGTAGGGAAACTACTCAGCACAAGCAAGTGATAATCACAAGAATAGTGGAGTCTACTTCAATGATTTCTAGCTTCCTGGGGGATCAGCCAGGTATAATATATACATAGTTACATCTCCAAGGGGGCGGCAAGGTTTGTGTGAACCAGCCCTAGGAAAGTGAGTCAAAGTATATATACATACAACAGAAATCCCATCACGAAAAAGGATGATCATGATCCACAGGAGTGGGGAGACCAAAACAAGACCTACATTTCACATCCAGGGCTTCAGCAGGCCTGCATTGTAAGTGAGGACGCCGGGGTCTAATAGTCTGTGGGCTGATGCCACAGCAATAGTGTTCTCTTTCTAATCTTCAAATACTTCAAAGTACTCAATTGTTTCTAATCTTCAAATCAACTTTAAGCTTTTCAGTCTTTGGCATACTTTAAATGTAGGATAATAGAATACAAGCTCTTCCACCTTCTGTATCTCTGCTCATATCATAGTAGATTGTACATTCTTTAATCTGCCTTGTCGCTCTTGTACTCACTGCAGTGTAACGTAACCCCTCAGCTCTAGAACCATGAAATAGCAGATTTACAGCAGAAAAGGTTTTACTGTGTGGTAGTATACAGTATGTGTTGAAATGATAGTTTCAGTATGTTGCAATGTCTCAATGAATACTTGTGTTGTTTGTACTTCCTGAGATTACAGCTGACAAAGGCGTTTGCCTTCACTTCAGAAATTTACTTAAAAGATTTTTGTTTTTTTAACCAAAAATGGACATTTTCCAAAGAGCCTAGCTGTGTCACTAAGATACTACTGGATACTTTTTGTGTTGTTGCTTGGTTTTCTATATTGTAAAATATATTGGGAGAGAATGACTGGATCTCTGATAATTAGTTGTCCATTGCTCATTGTTCTCAAGAATATTTACTGTGTCACACTGTGTACTGTGTGCTAATGCCCACATGAAAGAAAAATATATTTGAAATATATATTTAAAATATTCTTCCCAAATATATTGACATACATTTGAAATACTACAATTTGGGCCATATTCAATATATTTCAAGATATATTTCAATAAATTATATATATATATATATATATATATATATATATATATATAAAAATATGTTGAAATGCATTTTCATTACAAAATATCTGAAAAATATTTTTAAAAATACATTTTCAAATATACTGTATGTCTTTAAAAATACAAATCTACATTTTTGGAATGCATTTACAAATATATGTAAAAGTATATGTTAAAATGACTTTTTTACATGTTAAAAAAAATCTCTGAAGAATTAATTTTTTATATATTACAAAATATATGAAAAATATTTTTTAACCACTAGCCGCCCAGCCACTGTATAAAAACGGTGGCAGGGCGGCACGGCTGGGCAAAAGCACGTTTTAAAATGCGCTGTTTCAAAAAAAGGTAGGGGGCGCGCGCAAGGCGCGCCACTGCCCTACCTTCACCGCCGATCTCAGCCGCGGGTGTCAGTCGCCAGGTCACAGCCGGTTATTGTCAGCTGTGTCCCAGCGATTAGCGGCAATCAGTGACAGAGAGCAGGGCTGCAGTAGCTCTGCTTTCTGTCAGTTCCCTGACAGTTCCTGACAAGCTGACCAGGAGAAAAGAGTTTCTCTGTCCCAATCAGCATGTCTCCCTGCAGAAACACCCCCCGCCCCCTAGTGAAATACTCCCCTCACACAGTTAACCATTTCAGTGCAAAAACAAAGTTAACCCCTTCCTCCCCAGTGCCATTAGTACAGTGTCAGTGTATTTTTTTTTTTTGCACTGATCACTGTATTGGCGTCACTGGGATTTTCAGTGACCCTAAGTCAGTTCCCCCCCAGTGTCAGAATGTCCGCCGCAGTCCCACAGTCCTGCCATAAGTCGCTGATCGCCGCCATAAGTCACTGATCGCCGCCATAAGTCGCTGATCGCCGCCATTATTATTAAAAAAAATTTAAAATCCCAGTATCTTTCCCGCCATTTGTAAACGCTATAACTTTCACATAAACCAATTAATTTATACGTATTGGGTTTTGTTTTAGCAAAGACATGTCGCAGAATGCATTTTGACCGAAATTTATGACGAAATTTGATTTTTTATTTTTTTTTACTGGACATGTTTTATAGCAAAAAGTACAAAATATTGTTTTTTTTCCCAAAATTGTCAGCCTTTTTTTTATAGAGCAAAACATAAAAAACGCACAGGCGCTCAAATACCACCGAAAGAAAGCTCTATTTGTGTGAAAAAAAGGACATAAATTTCATTTATGTTCCATATTGCATGACCGCGCAATTGTCCGTTAAACTAGCGCAGCGCTGTATAGCAAAAAAACGGAGTAAATTGCAGTATCTATACCATAGTTTGTAGACGCTATAACGTTCACAAAAAGCAATCAATATACACTTATTGGGATTTTTTTTACCAAAAACATGTAGCAGAATACATTTTGGCCTACATTTATAACTAATTTTGAGTTTAATATATATTTTTTACAGCTAAAAGTAAAAAATATTGTTTTTCTTCAAAATTTTTGGTCTTTTTTTGTTTATTGCGTGAAAAATAAAAAGCGCACATGTGATCAAATACACCGAAAGAAAGCTCTATTTGTGTGAAAAAAAAGGACGTAAATTTTGTTTGGGTGCAGCATTGCATGACCGCGCAATTATCAGTTGAATTAGTGCAGCGCTGAGTAGCAAAAATAGGCCTGGTCATTAAGGGGGGTAAATCCTCAGGAGGGCAAGTGGTTAAAATATATTTTTTTAAAAACATATTTTTTTTAAAATATATTCTTCAGATTTTTTTAACATATAAAAAAGTCATTTTAACATATATTTTTACATATATTTGTAAATGCAATCCAAAAAGGTAGATTTGTATTTTTAAAGACATACAGTATATTTGAAATGTATTTTTAAAAATATTTTTCATATATTTTGTAATAAAAACGGTTTTTTTTTCATGTGTGGTACACGAAGGACAGACTCCAACTCAGAATAGGAAAGGGAGAGCGGTCGAACAGGGAACTGCCCCTAAAACATTTGTTAGAAGCTGTATTGCTAATTTCATGTGCACACACGTTTCTTCTTTGACTCTGGAAGTAGATAGGATTGTTCATCATGTTTAACTGCCGTCTCTCCTTTATTATGTATTTATTTATTTCAGGTACTTGTATAGCACCATCAATTTATGCAGCGTTTACATATATATTGTACATTCACATCCGGCCCTAACCCTCAAGGGGCGTACAATCTGAGGTCCCTAACTCACATTCATACATACACATACTAGAGCCAATTTAGACAGGATCGAGTTAACCTACCAGCATGTCTTTGGAGTGTGGAAGGAAACCAGAGTACCCGGAGGAAACACACGCAGGCACAGGGAGAACATACAAATTCCAGGCAGGTGGTGCCGTGGCTGGGATTTGAACCAACAACCCTTGAACTGCCAGGCAGTAGTGCTAACCATTTAGCCATAATGCTGCCCTTCAACCTAAGCACCACCTACTGGTAGTTTATATTGCATTCAATGGAGGTAGTGTACATTTTCATGCAACGTCTCATTGTGCAGTATCCTGTGTGAATTTTTTTGTGCACACACAAAACAGTCAGATTGAATGGACCACTTCATTATTTAATTAATACATGAAAAAAGGGAAACAGAGGAAATACCCTGCAAAACCATCCCCTTAATGAGGGAACAAACTCTTTTAACTTCAGTCTTAAAACAGCAAGGTAAACAACTCAACATTTCCTGTTTTCAATAAAATGTACACATCCCACAGAGAGATGTACCTATGACACAGAGGTAAATTCACTTCATTTCCATGAAAAGACTATAAAAGAAATAATATGAGTGACACCTGACATATTTGTAGGGCTGTAAATGTTAAATAAAGCTTTACTGATTTTGTTGGAATTCTAGCCAAACAAATTTGTATTAGATGATGTTAGTTAAAGTGTTACTAAACCCACAACAGTATAATCAGTCTGTATATATGCAGTAAAGCATGCTGGGTCTACTCACTGTGGAACCTAAGGGGTTAATCCTCCACATTGTGTAAAAAGGCTGTTTGATCCTGTTTTCTCCGATCCTCCCCTTCTTCTATTGTCCCCAATCCATCTGCTGATAGTAAAGAGCTCTAGGAGTCACTCTGCACGTGCTCAGTTTAGTGTGTATTGCTAGAGAGTTTTTTCTTTTTCTTTGGGAGGGTGCATGTGACCAGCACAGGGCCAATCAGCACTGCACAGAGAGAGGGTCAGGGGTTATTCAGCCTCACAGGACAGTCATAACAGAATGAAAACTCCTCCTACAAGCTTTAATCAGTGCTCAGCTGGACAACGAATAGAAGTCACAAGACTTGGCAGTTTATAATTTATAAAATAATTGCATTTCCATGCTGTGTGTACTGTGAGAGGCCAGGTATAGTGAATGCAGGGTCCTGGGTTTAGTAACACATTTTTTATATATTAAAGTAATTTTAAAATCACAATCTCTACAAAGCAGTATATGTGCTGATAATAAACCCAACAGTTTATCTCAGCAAGTGCATATTGTTCTAATTATTATTGCAAAGAGTACCTTAAAGGAGAAGTAGGGCCAATGCTCTTTTGTTCTGCACTCCTGTGACCCATATTCAACCGACAGAGGGCTAAAGACTGCTGTCAGCTGACATCACTCAGACTGTCCAGACTCTGGAGAAATCCCAACTTTAAAGCTGGAATCCACCCAGACGTCTGGACTGGCAGCTGGCTCAGCTTCTCAGCAAGCCGATGAGAGCCTAAGCCAATTGCTCCTGACCCCTCCACAGGTCAGTG